AACTTTTTGTCTCTTGACACAGAATGCCCCGCCCACTTTGAAAGAAAGTAAAATATATCCAACCTCTACAGAAAGGCCACCTTTATATAGTGGTCACTTTAGCCTGGTCCCTTGGGTGACCACTATACACAGGTTTGACTGTAACTATATATTAAGTAATGCAAATCAGATCAGCTCTCATGACAATTAAAAATTTGCACGCTTAAAGTAAAAACAAATGAATTGGTATTCAAATGAACGGGTGCTATGAAATCTTGTATAACATGTATAAATTTAAAATGAAGAGGACATGAAAATTTGAAAAGTGAGTGTTCATCAAACAAATCCGCCGACTTGGCTCGTATCAAATTTTGAATAATTAGGTAGGCTTCATTAGAGAGACGACAGTTTCCTGTGCGATTCGATAGACTTACAGGCACCCTAAGCTACTGAAAATTCAATCACAGCCGAATCTACATAAATGTTTGGCTGTTTGCTAACAATTTTGGACCCAGATATCTTGCGAATAATGTAATTGTTGCATTTGGTATGCAGCTCATACTACTCCAAACAAAATATCTAATACTACAGCTATAAGTCCTACAATTATTGTATTCATCACACTGTGAATTTAGTGGCTCAAATTATCTTGTGCTTGATACTTTGTATTGATATTAATTCTCATTACATTGTCGCAGATGCCTAATAAATACAATTGCTACCCCTTTTGCTTGAATTCAGCATTTGTTATTTCAATATTAAGGTGGTTGGTTATTATTAAAACAGATTATTGGATTTCTCTGACATTTATATTATGGATTTATTTAAAGTTGATATAAATATAGAGTTGGGGGGTTATTATATATGGTGAAAAAAGGATATGTAGTTATGAGATGGGTACTTTTGGCTGTAAAAAAGTACGGCTCATTTTTGCCTCTTTTTAGGCAGTTTTCCTTCCAGCAAACATTTCATTCAGGGATAAAAACCTGAAAAATTGATGGACATATAAAAGTCAAAAATTATGTGACACAAAATGTTTTGATAAATTTATTGTCCGTATTTATTAGATTGAATACCAGCAATCTACCTTAAAGTGCTGACTCAATGAATATATGCATTTAAATATACAACACATGCAGTGTGCCTCTTTTTTGCCCCTTTTTAGGCAGTTTTCCTCCCAGCAAACATTTCATTCGGGGATAAAAACCTGAAAAATTGATGGACATATAAAAGTCAATAATTATGTGACACAAAATGTTTTGATAAATTTATTGTCCGTACTTATTAGATTGAATACCAGCAATCTACCTTAAAGTGCTGACTCAATGAATATATGCATTTAAATATACAACACACGCAGTGCGGCAAATATAAATAGTAACGTAGAACAGAAACTTTCACGACTTTATACAATTTACATTGTAACCTCAGAAACTAATTGTTCCTCAATCCATATTCAGTTTGACGTCATTACGTTTATTTCAAACTATGCTATAATGCATAAGCCTCCCTTGCAGTGTGGCGGCTTCTTTGTCATAATACCGTGTTTGACTCACGATCGTCTTTCACTCATTTAAAAATTTAGCTGATTATCTCACAAATTGTTCTTGGCAACACTACAGAGTGGAATTGCGTATCTAGGGAAAAAATGTTTTTTGTTAATGGGCACCCAGTTGGCGGCACGACACGAGCAACGGTTGGATTCGTGTATAAAGCTTGTACTGCTCAATTTAGAAATCGCCCATGTAAAAACTAGTCCTAGGTCTGACAAGACTTTCGTTTAGGGTTCTGTCTGTTCATATGTTCAATTTTTTTAAAAGATGATGCACAAAAGCAAGTCATAATAGGAGACATATGCATGTCAATTAATTTTTTTTGTTCTGTTGATTTTTGATTGACTGATTATTGACTGATTATCTCATTAATTGTTCTTGGCAACACCATAGAGTGGAATGAAGTATCTAGAAAAAAATGTTTTTGTTAAAGGGCACATTTTGTTAATGTTAGGAATATTGAGAATATTGTCTTTACTCAGTGGGTATCAGCTGAATACTTTCCAAATATTTAATTACAATCTACATTTTTCATAGTTTATAATTCACACAGTCACTCAAAACTGGACAGGGACTATGTCATTGACAGTTACTTGTTTATGTACCGGCAATGTTGTTAAATGATTTACAGTATACAAATCATCTTGCCTGCTTCTAAATTGACATTGTGTTTAATAATACACCCTCAAAACCTATTCCCCCAAAAATATATCAAAGTAGAAAACAAAACTTTATGGTTCTAATATTACCATCATTCATTAAAGTCATTCAAGTCATTAGCACAGAGAGCACCAATGGCAATGTGAAAATGGCAGAAGAAGAATTAAAAATATGTCTTACTAACCTCTTGTTTTCCATTGTAATTTCTCTAGATACTCCACCTACAGAGCAACAAGAACTTTTCCTCAAGAAACTTCAACAGTGTTGCGTGGTGTTTGACTTCATGGACGCTGTATCCGACCTCAAGGGCAAAGAAATCAAGAGAGCTAGTCTAAATGAACTAGTGGATTATATCACAGCTGGAAGGGGGGTTCTCAATGAACAGGTTTATCCAGATGTGGTCAAAATGGTAAGTGTCTTTACAAGTGTATATGTAGAAGGCTGTCTTGTTTCATATTTCATTTTAGTCATCTATTGTCAACAAAAAATTCTTCTGGTTTGTCAAGTGCATTTCATTCTCCTAGGATTATGGTGAGATTTGTGACGCATCAAGCAATCTATACTGCTTCTCTCTCCCTGTAGTCTTATTAGTTGATGCCCAAAACCGGATACACACACGTCACTGATTGGGATGGGAGAATGACTTTCATGGCAAGATGAATTTTGCATCTTTCACCTTCACCATCTTGTGTCATTATTACCTGATCTAACTAGTGCATACAATTTGAGCTTCAAAAATGTGTTAGATATTAAATTGGCACGTATGCATAGTTTCCCCATCATCGGTTATTACCGTATTGGCTTTCTTTCTTTCTAGGCACCACCAAACAATCACTGTATCAAATATTAGATTAAGGTTTCCAAACCAATTAGGATTTACAAACAAAACTGGTTACTTGGATTTCTGATTTTCTTACTTACATGATTAGAGCAAGGTATAATGCAATGGTTTTCCCACGACGAGTGTCAATGTTAATTATCCTGAGTGGCATTGGCGTTATTGATTATTATAGATTTATTTTATGAACGATAAAGAAAGGTGTGATATAAAATAATGATTGGATGGTAGTCTTAAAGTGGTCTTGAGAAAAAGTATTTGTTTTTTTCCCCCCATTGCTGTTAATGTTTTGTGGCTTGGTCCACATAGGTAGTCGTGTTAAAAAACCTGCCTTTTATGTGTAACTCATGACTTACTGAAAAGTGCAATTTTTAATGGCTAGTGTTTTCAATATACGAGTGTAGTTGGGAATCCCTAAGTACACATTTACATTAGCAAACTCAGATCAGGATAATATATAATGTCAGATTATATTATTATACTGAATAACTTACACGGCATACTAAAGTACATTGTAGAGAGGAGGTCGTTTATTGAATTACCCAAAGTGTTTTTCTCAGAAATTGAAAGAAATTAAATGCATTCTTAACTAGTGGTTTAGCGATTTGTTGCATTGAGTTGATGTTTAAGGTGATGAACCTGATTACCATGTACCTGATGGTAGGAGTACCCCATGCTGCATTTCTCGGGGGGAGTATTGAATGAGGTATCAAGGGGCTGGTAATTACTGTTGTAACAATGGCAGTGATTGATCAATACTTCTCAGCATACTGACAGTATGGATTTGTGCCTGAAAGTGAACATAAAATAAGTCTAATAATTATTTTAAAGGGGTCAGATTTTTTTCCTTGTTGTGTGTAGGTCTTTACATTGTGACCGATATTATTAGTCCCTGTTCGAACATAGTCCGAAAACGGGGACTTATGTTTTGACGTCCGTGCTTCCGTCCGTGCATGCGTGCATTCAGACTTGTATCTTAGAAATGCCGGGGCCGATCACAATCAAACTTCACACATACATCATAAATGATATTATACATATACACATCAATTTGTTTCACGATCTGATTCAAGATGGCCGAATGGCGACCATTTTTGTTCTAAAAATTATCAAAATCAAGCATTTTTCCGGCTGTTTACAGATGGATTTTGTTCAAACTTGGTATATACGTTGGACATTATTGGACCTTGATGCATATTATTTTGTTTTTCAGATCGGATTCAAAATGGCTGACTGGTGGCCATTTTTTTCAATGAATGTGGTTCTAGTGCCTAATCTCTGACTTGCTGTGACTGATTATGTTCAAATGTTAAATATTCATTATACTTCATGTCATCCTATTAAAAATGGCCGAATGGTGGCCATTTTTGTGCTAATTTCTGGCATTTGTGGAAGGATTTTTGTTCAAACTTGGTACATACATTAGATATTATGGGTTCCTGTTGCACATTATTTTATTTTTTAGAATGGATTCAGAATGGCCGACTAGTGGCCATTTTGTTTTAATGAATGGGCTTCTAGAGCCATATCTCTGACATGCTTTGACTAACTATGTTCAAATTTTTAGCTCCGCTGTCGACTTTGTCGAGCGGAGCTTATATGAGTGATTGTCCGTCGTCGTCCGTGTCAATGTTTTACTTTTTAGACTTCTTCTTGAAAACTACAAGCCTGAATGCTTCGATACTTGGTGTATATGTACCTTGGGTAAACTTCTCTTAGATTTGTTCATTTCTTGATATCTTCAATTCTCTAATTTTAGTGAATATTTTTGTTATTTTTGGTAAAAAGTGATATTTTCGACTTCTTGTTGAAAACCGTAAGTCCAATTGCTTTTTTATTACATGTATAGGTACTACATGTGGTTCTAATTCAGATTTGTCCATTTCATGATGATATCTTCAATTCTTTAATTTTGATGAATATTTTTGTAATTTTTGGTAAAAAGTGATATTTACAACTTCTTGTTGAAAACCACAAGTCCAATTGCTTTGATATTACACATATAGGTACCACATGTGGACCTCTCTCAGATTTGTTCATTTTGTAATGATATCTTTAATTCTCTAATTTTGGTGAATATTTTTGTCATTTTTGGTAAAAAGTTGTATATATTATCTAAAAAACGGAACCAGCGACTACGGCAATTTTCACGTGTTGACCTCTGCTAGCACGCAAGACTGATCGCGATGACATAGTCTGATTTTTCGACATTAAAAACTTGTCGACAAGGAAAAACATTTTATATAGGTAATTTATTTAAATAATGTTTTCAGTTCAGATAAATATAAATTTTATATGTATTATGTGTTTATTTTGGATAAGAACTGCGGTAGAATAAATGAACTTTCACCAAACATGCCGCTGTGTTTGTTTATTTATGCAAATTTTCACAGCTCTTCACAGACACCATCCGAAAAACCCGTTGTAAAAGAAAAGTACAAGGACAATTCGTATATAACTTTCAGTCTGAACGTACCTGAATTTCTAATTATTTTCATCAACAATTTATTTTTTCATGCAAAGATCAGATCAGAATCAACTTCCGTTTCAATCTATGAAATATCGGTCGTTTACGGCCACATTGGGATTTTGACAGTGCATTAACGGATGGCCTTTTACGGCCGAATTGGGTTATCTTTGGTCAGAAATAAGCAGCCGTATATGGCCGCATTGAGGCGCAAAGGGTTAATAGGGTATGTAATCAGATCCTAATCCAACACTGATTCATACCACCAGATCCATATCCAACCCTGATTTCTACCACCAGATCCATATCCAACCCTGATTCAACCACCAGATTCATATTCAACCCTGATTCTTACCACTAGGTCCATATCCTGATTTAATCACCAAATCCAAGACTAACCCTGATGTGCAACTCTGATTTATACCACCAGATCCATATTCAACCCTGATTCAACCACCAGATCCATATTCAACCCTGATTCAACCACCAGATTCATATTCAACCCTGATTCAACTAAGAGATCCATATTCAACCCTGTTTCATACCACCAGGTCCATATTCAACCCTGATTCTTAGCACCAGGTCCATATTCAACCCTGATTCTTACCACCAGGTCCATATTCAATCCTGATTCATACCACCAGATGCATATCCAACCCTGATTCATACCACCAGATCCATATCCAACCCGATTCATACCATCAGATCCATATTCAACCCTGATTCAACTACCAGATGCATATCCAACCCTGATTCAACCACCAGATCCATATTCAACCCTGATTCAACCACCAGATTCATATCCAACATTGATTCATACCACCAGATCCATATTCAACCCTGATTCATACCACTAGGTCCCTATTCAACCCTGATTCATACCACCAGATCCATATCCAACACTGATTCATACCACCAGATCCATATCCAACACTGATTCATACCACCAGATGCATATTCAACCCTTGGTCCCTTAGTTGTAGTTCATTAGCAACCCTGACTGTTACTACTACCACTGCTAGTTTCTGTGTACCAGTTGACCTCAGCCAAAGCAGTCTGCCTATGTATTTGCACTCCAATAACCCCAACAAAACATGGTTTTTTGCTCTACTTACACATTGACTTCAATAGATTTCTTTATGTGACCAACTTTAACAAGATTTGAAGGATTTAAATAGTTTTCCTGATTTACTACTAGTATATGGACTTCATGGTAATTCAACAAAGAATTACACTGCAAGACTACCAGCTTATTTATTCAATCTATGGACCAGTACATTCATATGTTTCTGCATCTGGTGTTGACGGTGTTAATGCTCTCATAACCTAGTTTTAATGGAAATAGCTCCCATGAATAACAGTCGTTGTAATGTTATATACTGAAGATCAATGTGTGTGACGTCCATCAAGGATTCCAGCTTTTTACCTTGTATTGGCTTTGATTGATTTTTCTTCTTCTTTGGAATGTACCCTGCAGGTGTATAGAATGTTTTCATTGATGTCTCGTTACAATATTTTCAATCCTGTTGCTGCTGTCTTATCACCATTCTATTTTTCTCTTGTATGGGCTTTTATTTTAACGATGTATCTAGAAGAGGTAGTCAATTTTAATAATGTTCGATCTATTCTGCTTTACATTAGGTAAGCAGGTTCATCCGAGTAAGAGGTTGAGGATTACATACTTCGGTTGTCGATAGATGTAACAAAAACAAATTAGCACATAATTTTTTTTTTTTAAATCTACACGGAAGATTATAAAAAAAAATTGAAAAAAAAACAACATATTTGTGTTAAATTGTTTGTGGTTAAGATAGCTTCTCTGATTTATTTTTTTAAAAACATTTATTATTTATGAATAACAATGTAAACCTCAGGTAAGTTTAATTTCAGTCTCGCATGCAGAATTTATATGCTCAGGTAAAAAGATATATCATAAAAATTGCCTGTTACATAGGTTTCTCATGTCTAATCAGCTTGGAACTTTAAGATGTACATATATAATAATAAATACATAATGTTACTTACGCATGTCTAGTTTCTCAAATGTCAAAACATGGCTAATAACCATCATCTTCGGTAATTCATTTGAAAAGAAATAAGTCGGTAAGTAATTAAGCATTTATAATATATTCAAGACAAGATGGACTTGCATATTTAATGATAGCTACTTTATATATTTGAGTTCTAACAAATATTAACTTCGTTTTTTGATGGATTTATAAATAATTAGACTTATAGATTGAATTAAATAAAGGAAGCTGGGAGTCAACGATAAAAAAAATAAACTCTTCTTGTAATCGGAGAATTAATATTATATAGGTAAGATTTGCTTTTCTGTTCTGTAGATGTAAAATGGCAAACATTAGATCAGTGTAATGAAAGTTGGCCTCTGACCTTTTATAATGTCTAAGGTTGTCGAGGTCACATGGTAATCACTGTAGATGAATGCTTCATGTATAAGTAAATGTTATGTATTGCCTCCAGAAATATTTGGGATTATTCTGCTCTGTTTTTTTCTTTACCTGTATCTTCATACAAGAGGGAA